TTTATTTTCCTTAAGGTGTCAACTAGTGGTACATTTACCTTATATCAAGTTAAACTTCAAAATTAACAATTACTACCTGATAACAGTTACTTAATAAGGTAAAACCAAAAAGCCCCAAACTTTCTGTATGATTATTTTAAAATTTTACGTATGTTATGTTTATTTATGTTATGTTCTTTAAAATCAAAGAAGCAATTGCCATACATTACTAACATCTACAGATGCATTAACAATACATTTATTTTTATTAGATTGAATTAAAAAAGCCTCTTTTATTTTTCTTAAATATTTATATAACTTTATTAATTATCTGCGATTTGTTGGTTGGCGAAGATTTGTTGTGATAACAATCAATATTAAAACTAAAAAATTTCGGACTTCCGTTGTCTTTATTTATTTGCTTAAACAACAATTCCGTCACAAGTATCACTGACAGAGCTGTCACAAATCGTTTAAAAAACGATTTAAATCAAAGATCAGAAATACATTTCATTTGGCCAAATGATTTAAATCAAAGAAACTTTTGTCAATAAGAAAGTATTTAGAATATAAATCATTTTAAGATTTAAATCTTTTTTGTAAAGTAAATCATTTTAGAAAGTATTTATGATACTTTTAATATATTTAAATCATTCAAAAAGATTTAATAAATTGTTATTTGTTAATTTAAATCACTTATATCATTACATGATTTAAATCTTTTCTAACGATATTTTTTAACTAACTGCTACTAACCAACAATTTGTTTTGTGTGGTCTATGGTCTGTTTTTGTTTAAATGTTCATTATTCATGTTGGGGATTTATTTTTAAATTAATGTTAATCGCTAGGCAACCAGTAAACTAAGGAATATGTATTTCTTTTGCATAATCAAAATTGTTATTCTAAATTTTACATAAATAAATTGTCACTCTAAATCTCTGTATTTTTTAGACAGATGTCACTTGTCGTTATTCAATTCATTATTCGAATTCTCAGAATGTTATTAACAAAAGTTTCATCTTAAAATAAAATTTTAATCAATCACTATTGTTTATCTCTTTCATTTACCGGATTAATAATACAGAAATTACAGCTCAGTTACAAATAATTCATTTTTTATAGTGATTTTCAGTATACTTTTATTAAATTATACTAATATTCTCGTTGATTATTGGTTTGAAATATATATGACAGTGAACCATGAAAATGCGAGTTATTAACTCTAATTTCCCCCATGAAAATGCGAGTTATTAACTCTAATTTCTCATTCTGAGCTGGAAAATGAGTTAGATGCTTTACCTAGACCGTTATTCAGAAGCTACAAACCTGTCGATGAAAATATGCATGACCACATCAAGGTTATAGGTACAGTATCTATCAAATTTATGATAGTGATTTTCTTAGCCGCGTATAGCACAGATCCATATAATGAATTTTAAAATATTATATTGTCCATTTTTCCTGCCGTTCAGTGTAAGCCTTTTTTTTTGAAATATTAACCCGTCATACAAGTAACTTTCCTTCTATACTGACTGTATTCATACTAGAATAATATCTAAATATAAATAAAATATATTCAAATTTTGTGGAAATTATATTGGTATATTTAAATTTTATCCCTTGGAATTGGGTGCATTATCTGAATAGCAATATTTTTCAATGGAGATCCAACATTTTTACCACGTAAAATCCATATTAAAATGCAAACCGTCGTCCATACATCATATCTCCCCAAAATGGCCGATTCAGAATGTGCATAGGATTTTGCTAGTCATGTATTTTATTGCATTTGGATGGCCATAAATTACTCTCATAAAAAATAAACCTATACCGTTTTGCTCGCTATCCATTGACCAGGCTTGCGAATTTCATATGCTAAATAAATACAAGATGAAAAAAAACTGTAATGGTTGGCATTTTGAAAGAAAAAAGACCAACTTTTTTTAGTTCTTTATACTTTACTTTTTTTAACTTTTTTATTTTCCTGTATATTACTACTATTTTGTGGTAAAAATTAGTAGTGGGAACTATCGAATGAATACTATCGAAACATTCGATAGTTGCAATTCATTCGAATAATTCGATAGTTAGTAAGAAAACATTCGTTGAAAACTATTCGAATAAAAATTATCGAATAGATCCGTCATCTGCCTTGAAATATTGTATTCTAGTAATTCGGCAGCAAAAACCATTCATTTATAAAATTCATTCATTTATAAAATTCATTCATTTATAAAATTCATTCATTTATGAAATTCATTTATTCGTCAGGATCGATTATAATAAAATATTAACTGAATTTTAGTTGTCCCCCGGCGACGTAGGTTTTTTTCCGAGAAAGCGGTCGGTGGCAATGCTATGAAAGAAGCCGGCATCTTTGATTTTTTGCGGAGTCATATACAGATAAGGACACATTTTTTTTTATTGAGGTGCTAGTATTTACACAGAAAATACATTATGAAGGGCGCTGTTGCCATATTTTTGTATTAGTTGATATTAGCAAAGAATATTATTGTTTGGCTTTAGTTAGTTAGGGATAGTATGTCTATATATTCTGCATTTTTTTATTAACATTCTGTTGTTACACTGCAATAATACTTGTTATTTTGGATGTAGGAAAATTATTTTTAATGTTTTTAAGCAAAGACTGGTTTAATAAATAATAATAACAGTAATAATTTGTTATACCTATTTACAACAAAATTTAAAATAATTTAATATAAATATTTTTTTTAAGTAGTAGCAAAATATAAACAACAAATTAGATGTCAAAATTATTTATATTAGATCCTATTTAAAAATAATATAGTCTCTAATTTTTTTGGCAACGTTGGTTTATTAAATAATAATAATTACAGAACTAATTTGTTATATTAACAACAAATTTTAAAATCATGAAATATAAACATTTATTAATTTTCTAAGCAAGCGGTGTAATGGAAGGAAAATATAAATAAAAAATTAGAAATCAAAATTATTTATATTAGGTGCTTTATATTACTATTTAAAAATTATATTTACTTTTACTGGCATTTACTTTAAAAAATAAATGAAATATTTCTTCGCAAAAACTACATGTAAGAGAATTAGCATAAACAAAATACAAACATCGTTAACTTTTTTTTTTAAATTGGCACGTGTAAAATTTTCATTTTAATTTTCTCACCCCATAGTTTGAGTTCGATAACCATTTATTTAACCACATTACTTAAATATAATTATTAAGTTCCAACTAATTCATAGGTATTATTAAAACATCTAAAATACAAATATGTATTTTTAAAATTAATTGTAAGTTCATCTCATCTCTCTTAAAAATTGCTACTTTACAAAATTTCCCATTAAAAAATAGACGATATACCATATAAAATGAAATAATTGAAAGATCGGACTACGGAAAACCACACAAATTATCGGACAAATTTTGACCACCTGCACATGCACACAATCGTCAATAAATAAAATTAAAAAATAACTACTATTTTAGTATTTTAACTATTTTAATAAACGCAAAAATAGCACAGTATTTATACGGCGAAGTTATAAAAACTTGGAAGAACCAATAATGCCACTGACGCATACAAAATCCAAACGAATACTAAATTTCATTTATCAAAAGCATTCGATAGTCGTGGCTCAACGATAACCATTTAGTCGCACGGCGAGGTTGTCACATATGCTTTAGTTTACAAATGAATGAATGATTTTATTCGAATAAAACCATTCGATAGTTGAAATCATTCATTCATTAACCATTCGATAGTCTAATTCATTCGATAGTTCCCATCGCTAGTAAAAATGATGGAAGAATTTTTTTTTCAGGAAAAAATAAAATGTATTAAAGCCTGGTTGATGAAATGCACAAGCGCACTTAGATCACTGAGCGATCCCTTCCTAACAAATACAGGAGTTAGGCAGGGATGTGTCTTAGCGCCTCTCCTATTCAATATATTCATGGCAGCACTCTCCATTATAGTGGACAGCAAACTGCAGGAGAGAGCATTGGGCATTAGATACAGATACGACGGCGGTCTGTTCAACATAAAAAGACTCAGGGTAAAAACACGCACAAAATTCATCACAGAACTTCAATACGCTGATGGCTGCGCTTTAGTTGCAAACACGTTAGAACAATTACAAGAAATGTTAAACACATATACCTGGGCATACGAGGCTTTGGGCCTTAAGCTAAAGCCCAGATAGCACAAAAGGAACATTTACATTCTAAGAATATTCCTCCTAAGTTCTTATAAGTATATTCTTTTTTTAATAAGTATGGCATATGAATAGTACATTCTACTACGAATGTGATTTAAAGCTATGTTATCAGCATGACCTTAGAATGTCTTCTCAAATTATGGTTTACAATAAATTTTAAGTATCTGCTATTCACGTTCTAAACATATCAATATCTGAATAAAAATACAGGAGAATAAAAATGATTTCGAAATGAAAAAATGAATACAATACATTATATTTGTATATTTTCTTACTATCAGTTACTATTAAATTTTTGTGTATTAAATAATTAGGGATTTTATATATTAGTGTATATAGATGCCCTGTAAACAAATATTCAAGCAAAAAATACAGTGTTTCTTATTCTAACAAATAAATAAACCTGTAAAACTGTATAAATAAAAACGATCTTCCATTATGAAATAAAAAGATCGATTATACCAAAAGATAGTTTGATAAAACTCGATAGATTTTAATCGATTTTTTGGGTAAAAGATCGATCTTCGACTGAAATCGATTCGAATCGTACATCCATAACATAACCTAATAAAAAACAACAAGTGAACTATAAACGTAAACGTGCTTCATCCAAACTATTTTAATAATTAAAACACTGAGATAACGTAAAGATAAGTGATGCAAATAATTATTTTAAGGATAGAATCGGTAAAATAGTTCTTGTTATGTTTGTGTTTTCAGTATCTATTTTAAGGTGAGTGAATTTAAAACCATGAGACCTCTAAAAAAAATAGGTTATACTAAAAAATATTTTAAAATTCAACCAAAAAAAAAGGAGGCAAAATCTTATTAAGTCAATGTTACGCAAATATGACTTCAATATTGTACATTAAACTGGATTCAGACCAAAGTGATTTTTTATTATCCTCTGTACATCATCAAAGTAGTAGTATCTCTGGTAGTATCATTGAAGATTTCTGTTCTGATAAGTGTAGTTCCAGTGCTGAAATTTCTTACAATATAGTATTTATATAGGTATTTATGTAGGCTCTTCTATAATCATTTATTGTGTATTTTTAAGAGAAAGGTATTTTTTAGAATTATTAGGTTCGAGAATTATCTAGACTTGGTGGTTCAGGAGTAGCACAAAGTACAAGGAAAATGCTTTATAAGGTTCTGGGCAATGAAATTGCACAAAAATATTCTTGGGATGGGGCCAAAACAGAAGAGAAGTTTGAAATCATTGTTAGTGGCCAAAAGCAATTTTAGGTATTTGAACTTAAAGATATTTGGTGTTGCAAGGACTGTAATAACATATATTTTAGACTCCATGAAAGGTCAATTTCAAGAGTCAAAAGAAACCGAAATTATCAATATAATTAAAATATGGCTTGTAAAAACAAAAAGAAAGATTAAAAAATACCAAGGTAAGTTGTGCAAATTTATTGAACAGTATAATTCTGCTGATATTATTTCAGAAGGGTAGACAAGAGAATATAGAAACATAGACATAGAAGATAATATCAATGTATATCGTTATATTAAAATATTTTTAATTAATAAACATATATTACTCAAGTTCGTCTTTATCCTTACCTATTATTTTTAACCGTTCTATTTATTAGTTAATTTTTGATTATTACACACCAAATTATTTAATTTCAGCAAATTGTTTGTAGTGTGTTCCAGATATGAATGTACTGTATAGGTATCCTATAGATTTTAAGAGATAAAAAAATTGCTAAATATGAAAAAAATTGTATCTATATCTATAGTTTATAGGATATTGATACAGGGCATCCTTATACAGGACACCCAGTAGATACAGAGTTGAGGGTTGGAATCTTTGGTGTTACAACAGCAAATTAAAACACTAATTCACCACAATATACCAAAACACTTTACTTTTGAACTGGACGCTTGTTTGGTTAATCATCTTAGCGTCATCAGCAGATGATTAAAACTTAAATTTTGACCATCTGCTGATGATGCTAACATGGTTAGCGAAACGCGCGTCCTGTGCAAAAGTAAAGTGTTTTGGTGTATTGTGGTAAATTAGTGTTTTATTTTGCCTCTGTAGATAATAAAAAAATATGAAAAACATATGAAAAGCATAAATATAGAATATTAAAAACATGAATATCATATAATTGGAATATTATTTTTAAATACATTCTTTTACGAACATATAATTCACGTTCATAGAATATATCTTGGAATGTGAAACGCACTTCTATATCACTTGAATAGGGTGGAACGTAATCTCTGCTATTCATGTGCCATATATGTTCCCAATGAAAAAAAGGAATGTGAATAGAACATTGTTGTTCTCCAAAGTCACTTGCTTCGCATATGAAAAGAACGTAAATGTGCTATCTGGGAACATCGACAAAACCAAAATCATGTGCACTCCCCCGAAAGATCACAACAATGCTATAAAAATCGGAGAAGAACTATTTGGAATATGTAGCGGAATTCAATTACCTCGGCAGTTTGATCTCGGAAAAGGCCAATATTGACTGTGAAATTCAGCACAGGATTAGCAACGCCTCAACACTCTCCTGCTTCTTTATTCCCAGGATCTGGCAACTGTGTTTCTAACGCAGTGACATTTTACAAAAAATAAAGTTTTTATTTTTTTTTATTTTATTTTTTCTTGGCTTTAGGTCAGGTAAACAATGAGAAAACAACGGTTCTTTTATATTAAAAATTTCATTGACGTTTCGACCTGGTAGGGTCTTTATCAAAATTTATTACTAAAAAAATAATATAGTCACATTATGAACGTCCATTTAATCACAATAAAAATTCTATTTTGTTACCTTGAACGTAGATTTCGGCCGTTTTGTTTTAGTTTTTATTTTAATTTTTATTGTTTACTTTTTACAATTTTATCATTTTCATTCTGAAATCAATTTTTATGAGGTGGCGTGAGAGAAAAAAAAATATACAAAGCCTACCTCAGCGAAGAAAATAATCCAACATCCAACATTGGCATCCACACACATAACATAAACATATCGATACAGTCGTCACAATTTTTGTAAAGAGACCATACACATTGAAATGGATTTTACAACACTGAATAATATATTTTACTCAGGTTGTTTAAATCCCTCCTATCATTAACAGAGTGTTGGTTTTTTTGGATAGCAATAGATTCAAGAATTTCTCTTTTTCTGGTGTTATATTCGGTGCCAGTTATTTTTGTACTTTCGAAGTCAAAACTGTGATTTTCTTGGATTTCATGCAAAGTTAGGGCTGTTTTATTTTTCTTGTCGTATTTATGACCTTTTAAACGGTTTTCAAGATACTGACTGGTTTGCCCTATATAAATTCCACTGCAATTTTTGCAGGGTATTTCGTAAATTAGGCTGCTTTTTTTGTTTTTCGGTGTTTTTGTCTTGAGCCTTGAAAAATTACTCGCCAATAAATTGTGTGATTTGTGACAGACATTGAGATTATAACTACCAAGTAAATGTTTTATTTGTTGTGACAGTCCGTTTACAAAAGGGATAGAAATGTATTTTTTATTGTCTTTATTTATAGGTTTACTATGTTGGTGTGAGTTGTAAAATTTGTGAATTCGTTTTTTAAAAATGTTATTAATTATGTCATGTGGGTAGCTATTTAATTTAAGAGCATTCTTAGCCTTAATTATCGCGTTTTGTCGATATTCTGGGTCTGATAGTTGTATTGAACGATCTGCTAGCCCTATAATTACAGATTTTTTTTGTTTATGTATGTGAGAATTATAATTTAAATAACGAGAAGACCATGATTTTTTGGTATACCATTCGGTTCTAATGTTTCCATTTATGTGATGTAATGTTAAATCAAGGAAGTTTATTTTATTTTCTTCTTCAATTTCGATGGTAAATTGTAAATTTTTATGATAAGAATTAAATATTATTAAGATGTTTTCAACTTGATTTTTTGGGACTGCCATTATACGATCGTCAACAAATCCTGTTTCAGCGATTCCTGTTTCAGCAGCGAAATATCCAGTCCTTTCCAGAAATATGTCTTGTTTTATTTTTATATTTGCATTAAATCTTTTACCAAACAACAAACCATCGGCTTAGAAAAAGTAAATTAATTCTAAACAGTATTTCGAGAGCATTCCGATTCTTCTAAGAGATAATTATGTAGAATAACAATAAAGATAAAATTCGAAAATGTTACATTAAGCCGCAGCCGCACGTCCCCGGCGAGCCGAGCCCCACAAAAATGTTTTATCTCGAAGAGGAATCTTGCGCTTGTCTAGAAAGGAAAAAATCATAAAAGCGTGAACGTATAATCAAGAAGAAATTTAATACATCGTAAAATCCATGGGGGCTACGACGGCAGCCCCTCCCATATCTCTTTCAGCCTTAATGATCAATAGTTGTTCCCGAAACCGTTTGAAACTCAATATATACGGTTGGCGCTGCTTTCAGTTTGGCCTCTATTCCAGTCATTAATTTTTAGCTCGGTCATTTTTCCTCGAACAAACGGGCTAATTAAGGAAAAAAATTAAACCGCGCTACAGAGAGGTTCAGAGTAATAAAAGCATGTAAGGAGATTGGAATGATGTATGTCGGTGTTTAAGTATGATGTTTGATCAAAAAGACTCAGAGCAAAAACACGTACAAAATTCATCACACAACTTCAATACGGTGATGACTGCGCTCTAGTTGCAAAAACGTTACAGCAATTACAAGAAATGTTAAACACATCCCATACAGCACGTCCAAATGAAATTACGTTTCTACAAGGGAGACACTTGAGAAACAAAATATGTTAAAGTGAACCTAAGTGTTCATCTATAGTTCTAACATATACATATGAGATACACGCACGTTTATATTGATAGAATTGTGTGATACAGTGTTTACTAGTTGTATACCGTATGCACTCAAGATTTTAAAGAGTTTTTTGTAACGTAACAAATAATTATTAAAATGATGAAATCTGACGTCGGTATATGAGACATACAATGTATAAGTGATATGTATGTATCATAGTTGTGCCTATAGTACACACCTTGTAAAAATGTGACGTATTACACATAATATAAACACGGCATATAAATCAATCGGCAGGCTAACTCGCTTTGGCGGGAACGCTACGCGCATATCCTCGCGCACGCCGCCATTTGCGTTTCCATCAGCAGAAAGTAACCAGTGTCGTAGTTTTTTCAGCGACAACACACAGTTACGGCAGATTCGAGTCAGTAGCGTGCGGCTTAATTTATTTTGATTTTTTCTTGTGTGATATATTTTGTTTTTGTTGTTTTATTTTTGTTTACTGTCTGATATATTTGGTTTTTCTAGTTTTATTTTCGTTTCTTATGTAATATGATTTGTTTTAGTAGTTTTATTTTTGTTGTTCAATAAAAGTTTCTTTCTGTTTCCTAGAGATCCTATTAGGTATGTATATATGTGATTAATTATTTTAACATATTTTAGTTGTGAAAAAAACAGTAGTATACATATTAGGACATTCAGCTAAATAGGAAGACCTAATTAAAAATCTTAACAAACTTTAATATTAGTAAGATTTAATGTTAAATATTTAGTAAAATTTAATGTTGTATCTAGACATTAAAAATTAAATTTAAGAATCATTATATTATTAATTTAAATATAATTATAAAAGTAAATAAAATGAGTATATCGAAAATAAGTTAACAATACATTTTGAAGATATAAATAAGGCCCACAAAAGGTACAAGTTGTGTTCTGTTCATTTTGAATTTAAAATGTTTACCAATTCACTTTGTAACCGTATAAAATACAATGCGGTACCTACTTTGTTTCCTGCCATGAAAAAAATAGAAGTTTCTCAAAAAAAATTATGGATTTGTTAATTTGTGAAATTTGAATATTAATAAAATTTGCGACGCCCATTGATGGGCATAATTAGTACGTAGCCTCTTTATATTGTTCAATAAATGTTTTATTGGTATTTCTTTAATTCTTGTTTGTAACTCCTGGCATGTTTTTGTTAGTTGCATGTTTTTTAATTTTAATTGTCTATTGTCTACAGTGAAATATTTAATTGATATTTTCATTTTTACTTTTCGAGAAATATGCGCGATTAACGAATCATTTGTTTGGACAAAAGTATTGTGTAAATAAAATTCAGTTTCAGTTAATTACAGTATTTTTTTAATACGACCCTGTCTAACAATAGTTTATTTTCTGAGAAATTTTTTGATACGTTTTAATCCGGCCCTGACTAGGAAACGATAATGGCGCCGTCAAGGTCAAATTTTATAGAAATTTAAAACAATGGAATCTGAGCAGAGTTAGCCTGCCGTGTGATTTATATGCCGTGATATAAATATCTATATAGATACTTTGTAATAGTGCACTGTTGTGTCTACATTCTAGCATGAAATGAAGGTGTGCGCACGC